ACTTGCTAATGAAGCCCGGGAAATTCAAATCCCGGGCTTCATTAGCAAGTGCGGTATGCATACATTACCCTCCTAGTTCGAACTAGGAGGGTAATGTATGCATACCGCACTTGCTAATGAAGCCCGGGAAATTCAAATCCCGGGCTTCATTAGCAAGTGCGGTATGCATACATTACCCTCCTAGTTCGAACTAGGAGGGTAATGTATGCATACCGCACTTGCTAATGAAGCCCGGGAAATTCAAATCCCGGGCTTCATTAGCAAGTGCGGTATGCATACATTACCCTCCTAGTTCGAACTAGGAGGGTAATGTATGCATACCGCACTTGCTAATGAAGCCCGGGAAATTCAAATCCCGGGCTTCATTAGCAAGTGCGGTATGCATACATTACCCTCCTAGTTCGAACTAGGAGGGTAATGTATGCATACCGCACTTGCTAATGAAGCCCGGGAAATTCAAATCCCGGGCTTCATTAGCAAGTGCGGTATGCATACATTACCCTCCTAGTTCGAACTAGGAGGGTAATGTATGCATACCGCACTTGCTAATGAAGCCCGGGAAATTCAAATCCCGGGCTTCATTAGCAAGTGCGGTATGCATACATTACCCTCCTAGTTCGAACTAGGAGGGTAATGTATGCATACCGCACTTGCTAATGAAGCCCGGGAAATTCAAATCCCGGGCTTCATTAGCAAGTGCGGTATGCATACATTACCCTCCTAGTTCGAACTAGGAGGGTAATGTATGCATACCGCACTTGCTAATGAAGCCCGGGAAATTCAAATCCCGGGCTTCATTAGCAAGTGCGGTATGCATACATTACCCTCCTAGTTCGAACTAGGAGGGTAATGTATGCATACCGCACTTGCTAATGAAGCCCGGGAAATTCAAATCCCGGGCTTCATTAGCAAGTGCGGTATGCATACATTACCCTCCTAGTTCGAACTAGGAGGGTAATGTATGCATACCGCACTTGCTAATGAAGCCCGGGAAATTCAAATCCCGGGCTTCATTAGCAAGTGCGGTATGCATACATTACCCTCCTAGTTCGAACTAGGAGGGTAATGTATGCATACCGCACTTGCTAATGAAGCCCGGGAAATTCAAATCCCGGGCTTCATTAGCAAGTGCGGTATGCATACATTACCCTCCTAGTTCGAACTAGGAGGGTAATGTATGCATACCGCACTTGCTAATGAAGCCCGGGAAATTCAAATCCCGGGCTTCATTAGCAAGTGCGGTATGCATACATTACCCTCCTAGTTCGAACTAGGAGGGTAATGTATGCATACCGCACTTGCTAATGAAGCCCGGGAAATTCAAATCCCGGGCTTCATTAGCAAGTGCGGTATGCATACATTACCCTCCTAGTTCGAACTAGGAGGGTAATGTATGCATACCGCACTTGCTAATGAAGCCCGGGAAATTCAAATCCCGGGCTTCATTAGCAAGTGCGGTATGCATACATTACCCTCCTAGTTCGAACTAGGAGGGTAATGTATGCATACCGCACTTGCTAATGAAGCCCGGGAAATTCAAATCCCGGGCTTCATTAGCAAGTGCGGTATGCATACATTACCCTCCTAGTTCGAACTAGGAGGGTAATGTATGCATACCGCACTTGCTAATGAAGCCCGGGAAATTCAAATCCCGGGCTTCATTAGCAAGTGCGGTATGCATACATTACCCTCCTAGTTCGAACTAGGAGGGTAATGTATGCATACCGCACTTGCTAATGAAGCCCGGGAAATTCAAATCCCGGGCTTCATTAGCAAGTGCGGTATGCATACATTACCCTCCTAGTTCGAACTAGGAGGGTAATGTATGCATACCGCACTTGCTAATGAAGCCCGGGAAATTCAAATCCCGGGCTTCATTAGCAAGTGCGGTATGCATACATTACCCTCCTAGTTCGAACTAGGAGGGTAGTGTAGACATACCCTTAGTCCCTTAAAATATAAAAGTGCTGTGACAGAGTGCTCAGAGCTAGGAACTGATCCAATACTCTGGTCATGTGGCGCATGTCTACACTACAATAAAACACCAGGGCTGTGTCTACACTGGCATCCCTTCCGGAAAAGGGATGCTAATGTAGCACTTTGGAATAGGCAAATCCGCGGGGGATTTAAATATCCCCCGTGGTATTTGCATTAACATGGCTGCCGCTTTTTTCCGGCTTGGAGATAAGCTGGAGAAAAGCGCCAGTCTAGACGTGATTCTCCGGAAAATAAAGCCTTTTCCGGAGGATCTCTTATTCCTACTTTCAAGGAGGAATAAGGGATCTTCCAGAAAAGGGCTTATTTTCTGCAAGATCCCATCTAGACCGGCGCTTTTCTCCGGCAAAACCCCGAGCCGGAAAAAAGCGGCAGCCATGTTCATGCAAATGCCGCGGGGGAGATTTAAATCCCCCGTGGAATTTGCAATTCCGAAGTGTCTCGTTAGCATCCCTTTTACGGAAAAGGGTGCCAGTGTAGACACAGCCCAGCAGTGGACTCATGTCAGCTGACTTGGGCCTGCAGGGCTAGGAAAGCAGGAATATAAAGCAAAGATGGGAAACCTCCTGCCTGTGGGCCACATGCTCTCCACAGCTGCTGGCGGGCCACCAGATGGTTTGTTTACCTGAGCATCTTCAGGCACAGAGCCCTTCAGTTCCCAGGCTACGTCTAGACTACAGGCTTTTTGCGCAAGAAGCTTTTTTCGGAAGATAGCTTCTGAAAAAACTTCTTGCACAAGAGAGTGTCCACACTGCAAAAGCACATGGAAAAAGCGATGCGCTTTTTCAAAAGATAGTGTCCAGACTGCTTGGGCGTGAGCTCGATGTAAGCAGTGATGGCTATGGACAGAATGGCCACCAGGGCACTTGTGTTTTTTCCTTTTCCCTCTTCTTCCAAAAAAACTCTCTCTTCCCCGTCCACACATGCCTTTTTGCAAAAAGGCTTCTTCCTCGTAGAATGAGGATTACCAATTGTGCAAAAATCCCTCTGTTCTTTCAATTTACTGTCGAAAGAATGAGGTTGCAGTAACTCAGGTTTTGTTGGAAACTCTGACAGAGATCTGTAGTCTAGACATACCCTCAATGGCCTTGGTTTGCCATTGCTGACCAACGGGAGCTGCAGGAAGCAGTGGCCCAGCCTGCACCACTTCTTGCAGCTCCCGTTGGCCAGGAACAGTAAACCACAGCCACTGGAAGCTACGAGGAGCTTTGCTTGTGGATACCCAGGTAAACAAACCTTCTGGCAGCCTGCCAACAACTAATCTGGATGAAGGGCATGCAGCTGGCATGCCAAAGGTTCCCCCCCCTTCATAAAATGAGTGTAGATATTTGGTTTCAAGCCAGTGCTCAAGTTCTGGGACCCTCTGTAACGGGGCGGCGTCCGGCACGGCCGTGCCCCGCACCCTGCCCGACCCCAGAGCCCGGAGACGCGGACAGGCGGGAGCAACGCCGGCATGGCCGGCACGGGGGGCGGCTGATGACGTCACTGACATCTCCGTGCCAGGAATGGGGGGTGATAGAGGAGTCCCATAGCGACTGGAGAAGCCCGATTGTGCTGGTCCCAAAAACTGACGGGTCGACCCGGTTCTGTATAGATTTTCGGAAAGTCAATGCTATATCCCACTTTGACGCATATCCAATGCCCCGGATAGACGAACTGTTAGATCGGGTGGGGCGAGCCAGGTACCTGTCCACTATAGGCCTAACCAAAGGGTACTGGCAGATCCCGCTAGCTCCCGAAGCCCAAGCCAAGACAGCCTTTGCAACCCCGTTCGGGCTATATCAGTTTACTGCAATGCCCTTTGGTCTGCATGGGGCAGCTGCGACCTTTCAGAGACTAATGAACCAAATACTGAGAGAACACCAAGAGTACGCCGCAGCTTACATAGATGACATCATCGTCTTTAGCGAAACTTGGGATCAACACCTACGACACATAGCGGCGGTGCTCGGGGCATTACGGGAAGCCAGATTAACGGCGAACCCCAAGAAATGCCAGTTCAGAAAATCCGAAGTGTCTTACCTAGGGTACACGATAGGACGGGGGCAGCTTAAACCACTGGGCTGTGTCTAGACTACATGCCTCTGTCGGCAGAGGCATATAGATTAGACACATAGGCAAAGTCAAATGAAGCCGCGATTTAAATGATCGTGGCTTCATTTAGCCGCGGAGTGTCCAGACTAGCGCACTGAGCCATGTAAATTTAAATGAAGCCGCGATTATTTAAATTGCAGCTTCATTTCCCTTTGCCGATCTGTCTAATCTACATGGCTCCATCGATGGAGCCATGTAGATTAGACAGATCGGCAAAGGGAAATGAAGCTGCAATTTAAATAATCGCGGCTTCATTTAAATTTACATGGCTCAGTGCGCTAGTCTGGACACTCCGCGGCAACCTGAAAGCCTTTTATCGACATCCCCGTTATGCCTTGTAGGATGATGTTTACCGGGGAGGTCGATAAAGGGCTTTCATGTTGGCGCAGGAGCGTCCAGACTAGCGTGCTGAGCCGACAAACAGCTGATCGGCTGTTTGTCAGCTCAGCGCGGCAGCCATGTAAATGTAAATGAAGCCGCGATCATTTAAATCGCGGCTTCATTTGACTTTGCCAAAACAACAAATCTACATGGCTCCGTCGACGGAGCCACGTAGTTTAGACTTACCCCTGCTGGACAAGGTACGGGCCGTGCGGGATTATCCCGCCCCCACAACAAAAAGGCAAGTGCGGCAGTTCTTAGGGTTAGCGGGATATTATAGGAGGTTCGTGGCGAATTTTGCAGCACTAGCTGCACCCCTCACGGACCTCACGCGCAAAGAGCAACCCCAGAGGGTAAGATGGACACAACCCTGTGAGGAGGCCTTTAGACAGCTCAAGCAGCGGCTCATAACCGCCCCAGTACTGTCTCAACCTGATTTCAAAAAACCCTTTATTTTGCAAACGGACGCCTCAGAGACGGGGCTAGGGGGCCATGTTGACCCAGGAGGAAGGGGGGGAAGAAAACCCTACCTTGTACTTGAGTCGGAAACTCTTCCCCAGAGAAAAAGGGCATGCGACTATTGAAAAGGAAGCCCTAGCGGTGAAATGGGCCATTGATGCTCTTCGGTATTTTCTCCTAGGGGACAAGTTCACGCTGGTGACGGACCATGCACCACTCCAATGGATCTGCACAATGAAGGAAACGAACCCCAGGATACTGCACTGGTACCTGAGCCTTCAGCCATATCAGTTTGAAATAAAGCATCGGCCTGGTACCGCTAATGCGAACGCTGACAGTTTGTCCCGAATACCGGACCGAGCGGGCGAAGGGGTGGCAAGTATAGGGGGGAGTCTAAGGGTGGAGGTGTGTGACGGGGCGGCGTCTGGCGTGGCCGCGCCCCGCCCGACCCCAGAGCCCGTGGGGAGAGCCCGGAGACGCGGACGGGCGGGAGCAACGCCGGCATGGCCGGAACGGGCGGTGAAGGGCGGGGAGGACAAACCCTGGCGCCGGCTGATGACGTCAGTGACGTCTCCGCGCCAGGGGCACGGCCTCCGGACGCTGAGGACGTGGCGGGGGGGGTAGTTTAAAAGAGGGCTGGGGAGGACACGGAGGGGAGGGAGGTGGCCAACGGAGGCCGAGCCAGGTAAGGGAACCCGACGGGCAGGATCCAGGAGGGTAAGGTCGCTGCCCTAAGAGGGGGGAAGAAGTGGCCCAGAGTGGGGCTGTGGAACCCGTGAACAGAGGGTTTGGGGTTAGACACCCCCTCCGTTGTGTGAGGACGCTGACCTCACCTTAGGGCTCTGGGTCGGGGTCCGGAGCGAGGGTGGGCCCGGACGGGCCCGGACCCCCTTCCCCTTTCCCCGCCATAAGTGGAGGAGGAGACAAAAGGATCACTCACGGCCGATGGCCCAGTCTGGGTCACACTAACCGGATGCCAGGTAGAGACACTCGATGCCCCGGCTCAGCCGGGGTGCCTGCCCCCACAACAGGTGGGGGGAACTCGTGACACCCTCCTCCCTTGAAATTTCCCAGGACTCAGGTTCCACCATGTAGGGGTTAATTGCGAAAGAATTTTGTATGTGAAAGCATAGGCGTGGTGAGGCACATTGTCCCCCCACCTACTATAGCTGATGAGACAGAAACAACCCTTCAGGAACACATGCCATTTAAGATAGGCAGTGGTGCCATTGTAATGAAAATAAGTTATAAATAAGAGTAGGAGAAAGGACAGGAACATATAACAATCTTGTTTAACCAGATGTATTAATCATGTAAACACGGTCAAAGGACGAGCAGTACCAAATCAATAGTCAACGGCCAAGCCATACTGTAACAAGTGATAAGTAACCCCCAGAAAGTTCCAAACTGCAAAACAGGATGAAAACCTGTATATAAGCTGCACAACAGTATGGCAATTTGGACCTCACCGATGGACTCTGGTTCCGGTACCTCAGAAGCCTAGATGACCTCCCACTCGTCCGCAGTTGAATGGGGTCCCCAGCTTGTAGAAAGGATGTAAGAGCCACTTTTCCCATCATGTTGTTCTTTTAAGGGGTACAGCTGAAATCTGACTGGAAATAAATTGCTTGTGTTTGACAGATACAGGTGCAGCGTGTTTTGTACTTAGAGAACCCCATGTCAGACCCGAGAATTACTCTTGATGGTAACAGACCCCAAGCCCTCATGCAGCAATTTTATAGTCTGGAGCCCAAGCCTGACGTATCTGACACTGGCCAAATGCAGATGTTTTATTACTATGCAGACACACTCTGAGGCACTAACTACCCCCCAATAGGACTAAATGGTGAAACACTCATAGTCAGATTGTGGACTGATGAGCAGGGCCAGACTGAAGCAGGGATTGCAGGGGCTGCAGGCCATGGCTTCAGGCCAAGGATGGCCCCACAGGACAGATGCAGCCCTGCTAATTCTTTTTATCCAGCCCACAGCAAGACTCTTCATCACAGACAGAACACCAGTCCCTGAGCCTTGGCTAGAGCCCACTCGCTGTTATGCCCCTGCAACACCGAGGCAATGGGCATACAGGGAATCTCTGAGGGCTGCCCATGCTCCCAGAACCATCTCCACAGCTCTCATTGACCAGGAACCACGGCCTATGGGAACTGCGGAGGCAGCGCCTACAGTGCCTGTGAGATGGGCAGCATGCACCATGCAGAGCATCATGACTCCTTTGCCTATGGGCCAGATGTGCCAACCATCTTGGGAGCAGAGCAGCATGGACCAGGGATTCTTCCTTAGTTCTGTTGTGCCACCAACCAGGTGCAGCCGAAGGTAAGTGCCTCCTGGCCAAAGCCTGCATCCCACAGCTCCTCCTGCACCCCAACCCTGTACTCCAGTCCAAAGCCCCTTCCCACACCCAAACTCTCACTAAGGGTACGTCTAGACTACCGCGTTTTGTCGACGGAAGTTTTGTCGACAGATACTGTCGACAAAACTTCCGTCGACAATTTGCGTCCAGACACATGGAGTTCTGTCGACAAAGCAAGCCGCTTTGTCGACAGAACTCCGTAGTCTGGACGCAGTGTTACAGGCAATAACACCTTCTGTCGACAGAGTTCTGTCGACAGAAAGTGTTATGCCTCGTAAAATGAGGTATACCAGCGTCGACAAAACCGCGGAGTTCTGTCGACGTTATGTCGACAGAACTCCGCGGTAGTGTAGACGCTGGTATTGTTTTGTCGACAAAAGTCCACTTTTGTCGACAAAACTAGGTAGTCTAGACACACCCTAAGAGCTCACATCTCAACCCCATCCTACCCATGCCTGCCCAAGCTCACCTACCCCACCTGCACTCCCTCCCACATCCCAGGCCTGAGCCCACACTCCAAACCTCCAGGAGCCCCACAAAATCGAATAGCCCCTGGCCTATAGGAGAGATATTTTGGCCCTGCTGATGAGGTAAGGGGTTCCTTATCCCAACAGAGGGTAAGGCAGTTAAAAAACACAGAAAGGCAGTGAAGGAGAGGATTAGTAGAGCCCAGGGGAAGCAAAATCTCTGTCTTGTGAGATGGCTTCCTCTCTTTCTCCCTCTCCCCGCAGAAAAGGCTGAGAACTGAAGGACATCATAGGTAGAAGTTCAAGTCAGGCATGGCAGTTGTGCTGGTGGTAACATAAATAAAAATGCATGGACGTGTTCATTATCAAAAAACATCAAAGACTGTTTGGGACCCCAGAGTGAGCAAGTAGCCTGCCCTGTTAAAAGCATCTAAATAATGTGTTTGATTTTCAAGGGTGCTGAGTAACTAGTGGCTTCCATGGATGTTTGTGAGGGCCACTGTATGTTCAATACTTCTGAAAATAAGGCCACTTATTTAGGCTTTTTAAAGTGAGCTTTGGAGCTTAATTTTTGGCACCCATTGAAAATCTTAGCTAAGAATTCCAGAACATCTGCCTCATCTCCTGCAAAAGCATTTCTAATCCAATGTTGACTGGAAACAAAGAGCAGAGAGAAAACCACATATGTTTCTGTACTGTGGAAAATGTTTGCTTAGAGTTCAGCTATGGAAATGGACAAAGATGGACACCATTTAATCACTGTTAATTTTTCTGAACTGGTTCTCTATGGCTATATCTAGACTGCAGGCTTCTTTAGGAAGATTCTCCAGAAGGGTGTGTCTAAACTACATGGCTCCATCGATGGAGCCATGTAGATTAGGCTGATCGGCAGAGGGAAATGAAGCCGCGATTTAAATAATTGCGGCTTCATTTAAATTTAAATGGCTGTCGCACTTTGCCGACCAGCTGATGATCAGCTGTTTGTCGACAGATCGGGGCAGTCTGGATGTGCTGCGGTCGACAAGGAAGCCTTTGTTGACCGGCACAGGTAAACCTGGTTTCATGAAACATACCTGCGCACTGGACAAAGGCTTCCTTGTCAACCGCAGCGCGTCCAGACTGCCCCGATCTGCCGACAAATATCTGATCATCAGCTGGTCGGCAAAGCGTGGCAGCCATTTAAATTTAAATGAAGCCACAATTATTTAAATCACGGCTTCATTTCCCTCTGCTGATTAGCCTAATCTACATGGCTCCATCGACGGAGCCATGTAGTTTAGACACACCCGAAGAGATCTTCAGAAAAAACGTCTTTCAAAAGAGGGTGTCCACACTACCAAAGTGCATCAAAAAAGCGATCTGCTTTTATGACAGATAGCATCCACACTGAATGGACACTATCTCACATGTAAGCTGTGATTACTATGGGTGGAATGGCCACCAGGGCACCTGTGCTTTTTCCTTTTTCCTCTTTCCTCTTCTATTGAAAGAACTCCCTCTTCCACATCCACACATGCCTTTTTCCAAAGACCTCTTTCAGAAAAGGCGTTCTTCCTTGTAGAAATAGGTCTACCCAATGTCAGGAAAGCCTCTCTGTTCTTTCGATTTTTTTTGAAAGAACACAATTGCAGGGTGGACGTAAGTGAGGCTTTTTAGAAAAAAATGATGGGTTTTCTAGAAAAAAAACCTCTGCTATGTCTAGACTGGCATGATTTTCCACAAATGCTTTTAACGGAAAAGTTTTTCCATTAAAAGCATTTGTGGAAAAGAGCGTCTAGATTGGCACAGATGCTTTTCCGCAAAAGCACTTTTTGCAGAAAAGCGTCCATGCCAATCTAGACGTGGTTTTGCGCAAGAAAGCCCTGATCACCATTTTTGCGATCGGGGCTTTTTTGCGCAAAACAATACCGCGTTGTCTACACTGGCCTTCTTACGCAAAAGCATTTGCGCAAGAGGGCTTTTGCCCAAGCGGGAGCAGCATAGTATTTCCACAAGAACACTATCAATCTTACATGAGATCGTCAGTGTTCTTGCGGAAATTCAAGCGGCCAGAGTAGACAGCTGGCAAGTTTTGCAGAAAAACTTGCCAGTCTAGATGCAGCCCTGTAGTGTACTCTATTTCTGCTGTAGATGACCAGAATGTCAGAAGAAAACATGTTTGTGACGGATTTACGGGTGCGAGCACCTCGTGCCCCCTCTTTTTGGCTTAGCGTAGAGCCGAGGGCGGGGCTCCGCGGACCCACCGCCTTCTTTATTCTCCTTGTCCCCAGCCCCTTTTATTGAAGGTTTATTTCATCATATATGAAGATCTTATCAGACCTTACTAATGATCACAACTAGATAATCTTGCAGATGAAGTGGAAATTAACTTTCCAATTTTCTAAGAGATAATTAAGGGTAATTTTCTAACAATGACCAGGCAATCAGCTTTTATATTTTGTAAAGAGTTGTTACACCTTGTAGAAAAAAGTGCCAGTCCTACACTCCCAGAACTTGAGGTCACACCTAGAAACCCATGAAAGGTTTTTGGATTATAAATATACAGCTGAATCATCCACAGGAAAGATTCAGTCTGTGCTCTGGGAACAATGACACTTCCTTACATTTATAGAAATGTCCTCATACTCTTCCTTCTGTTGTATACAGAGGCTTGAAAGGATTTGATTATTGTTGATAAACGTAAATTTCAAGTCATGTATACAAATAAAGATATTTC